TACGAGTTCACGGTGATGCCATTCGGCCTCACCAACGCACCCGCTACCTTCCAGAGGGCGATGAACGACATCTTCAGGGACATCCTGGAGCAGTATATTCTCGTCTACCTCGACGATATCCTGGTCTATAGTCGTACCCTTGAGGAGCACCTTAGACACCTCCGCGACGTCCTTGACCGCTTGCGCAGACATGGCTTCTACGCCAAGCTAAGCAAGTGCCGCTTTGCTCAGCACAAAGTGGATTTCTTAGGACACTACGTGTCTGACCAGGGTTTACACATGGACGACGCGAAAATCACTGCTATTGCAGAGTGGCCCGCTCCCACATCCGCCAAGCAGCTTCGCAGCTTCCTAGGCCTGACCATCTACTATAGTAACTTCATCCGGGGATACGTTAGGTATTCCTACGTCCTTACCTCCACCCTCCTCCGGAAGAACCCACCCTGGGCTTGGACACCCCTCCACGAGGACGCCTTCCGCGCCCTCAAGAAGGCGGTGACATGCGCACCGGTTCTTCACCTACCCGATTTTGACCGCCCTTTTATCCTKACCACCGATGCGTCAGACTTCGCTGTAGGAGCAGTGCTTTCTCAGGTCTTCCCCTCATCCTCGTATCGCTTCCCACCACCTACCCCTACCACTGCTTCCCGACTGACGCCTACTCGTCCAGCTACTGACGAGCCTTCTATTGACTATTCTCCTACCATCGCCGAGGACGGCACTGTCGAGTCTCGCTCAGGTGATTGTCCGATAGCCTTCTACTCCCGCCAGCTCCTGCCCGCCGAGATAAAGTACACTGTTGATGAACGTGAGGTTCTCGCAGTAGTTTATGCCGCCCGGCACTGGCGCCACTACCTGCATGGGGCACCATTCACGGTTCGCACGGACAACTCTGTTGTCCAGGCTTTTCTGACAAAGYCGAAGCTCACTCCTCGACAGGCTCGCTGGTGGCGCGACCTATCCGAGTTTAGTTTCACCACTGAGCACATCAAGGGTGAGACTAATCGGGTCGCCGATGCCCTATCCCGGCGCCCTGACCACGACCAGGAGCACATCCAGCTCTCTTCCATCTCGGTCAGCACCGTCCACCACTCGGTGATCGACGAGTTTCGCACTCAGTACCGCCACTGCCCTGACTATCGCGACATCCATGCGACCCTTCGGAGTGGCAAGACCGTCCCGAACTACTCTCTCGGGGACAACAGTCTTGTGTACTGGCACAGTTCACAGGGCACCAGAGAGCCCAGTATTTGTGTTCCCTCCACTGGACAGCTACGTGTCCGAGCAGTAGCAGAGTTCATGACCAGGCAGCTGCCGGTCATATGGGCTTCCACAAGACGTTGGCTCGTGTGAGCCGCCTGTACGTCTAGCCGAAGCGCAAGGACTTTGTGAAGGACTACATCGCAGAGTGTCCCACCTGTCAGGAGGTGAACAGTGTGAACCACCTACCTTATGGTTTGCTCCAGCCTCTTCCTATCCCTGAGGGTCGTTGGCAGTCCATCTCGATCGACTTTATCGGTCTTCTTTGACCTCCGACCCCCCGTGGTCATGATGCTATCCTGGTCGTCGTCGACCGCTTCACGAAGCGTGCACGCTTTGTTCCGTGCCGCTATGCCATCAGTGCACGTGAGGTCGCCGACATCGTATTTGACCGAGTCGTGCGTGACCACGGCTTACCTCTGAGCATCATATCTGACCGTGACCCGGGCTTTACCAACCGATTCTGGCGACGGCTCCACGAGGTGTACGACACTCAGCTCCGCTTCTCCTCGTCTTACCATCCTCAGACTGATGGTCAGACCGAGATCACGAACAGGACTCTCGGGGATATTCTCCGAAAGATTGTTCGTGACGACCAGCAGTGGGATCTCCATCTTGCCCACATGGAGATAGCCTACAACCACGCCGTCTMGCYAGCCACGGGGATKTCGCCTTACTATTGCGACCTCGRCTATCACCCGYGTGTTCCCGCGGACTTCCTTCGACCGTCCCAGATGCACCCCGACACGAGTTGTCCCGCGCTGGATGATTGGGTTGCACACATGACGTCGATTATGAAGACCGCACATGAGCACATAGCCGCTTCCCAGACTCGCATGGCAGCACGTGCGAACCGATTGAGGATGGATCACCCATTCAAGGTCGGTGATGATGTGCTTATCCACGCCCGCCACTTACAGCTCGAAGCGGACACGCTTCGCAAGTTTCGGCGTCGCTTCTTTGGCCCATGCCGCATCCTCCAAGCCGTCGGTTCTGATACGGCATCTAGCCCGGTCAGCTTTCGTGTGAAGCTGTCCGACTACCTACGCCAGGCTCGTGTGCATGATGTCTACCACGTCTCGTTACTGCGTCCTTACCGCAGACCGTCTGAGCGTTTCGCTGGACGACCATACGAGC